AGATACTCTTTCATTTTGCAAGAGACTTCGATTGTAAGAAAAGTTTTTAATTCTGTACTATTTTTATCACCTATGCGATGAATGAATGCTATGAGGGTTGTATAAGACCCCTTCGGGGTTGAGTACGCCAGTTACGTCTATGGAGTGCTCTCGGGGCATGACATTAATTATATGTATACAATTATCCAACAAGTATACAAATATAATCATTGATACATATACATACTAGTTACATATATACAATTATCCAACAAATGTATAAATACAATTCATCTATATTTTCTCTCTGCCCTCTCTCCCCATCTAACATGTAACTACGAATCATAATTAAATGAACTATAGTTATTTGTCTGATCATATTTCTAGTCTTAACTAGCGTTTGGCCATAAATTTTTAAATATTTTTGGCAAGTCATTTTTTTGAGAAGTTTCACCATGTGCTTAGCCAAAGATTTTGAAAGAAATATTTGACTTTTTTTAGAAATATGATTTACACTCATAAGTTCTAAAATTATTAAAAAATAATCATAATTTTGTATTATATTTTATAATGAAAATCTTCCGTGAAAAGTCATGACAATGAACATAATTAATATGAATTTTAAAAAAGAGGAAGAAAACAAAAGGAAAATATCATTAATTTATATACAGAAAACTACTACTCCCTCCGTCCCATTTTATGTGAGGTAGTTTGACTCGGCACAAAGTATAAGAAAGAAAGAAAGACTTTTAGAACTTATGGTCTAAAATGAATGATAGAAATTGGTGTAGCTATAAATCATTTCATTTAAGGTAAAATGGACATTTTAAAGTTAAATTGTCACTTAATAATGTGTCATTCTTTTTGGAGTTGGAGCTGACTAGAAAGGAAAGTAAGTCATATATATATTGAGACAGAGGGAGCATTACTACTTGTAAGTGAAAGTGGCTTCGGAGAGCAAGCTCGGATTAAAATTGTGTAAAATATGTATATAACAGTATTGAGCGTATATATAGACACCTTGTTACGCTTAAATTGCCATCTTCCGAATTTTTTTTATCATGGTAGAGGCATAACCAACAAAAGGTGTGTGAGGCTTCATTTACTTTTTGACACATGGATAAGTGGGTCATTTATGTACTTTAAAGCAAGAACTTGCTACAACTAACAAGAGAGAGAAAATATATTTACACATAAATTGAGTTGAACAAATATAAAAAATGCAAGAAAAATTATATGTGTTTGGTACTTTTTTTTATCATTATTAATATTGTATTCATTTGTGGGATTATATCGGATATATTATTGTTGTTGTAGTTGATGTTAGTTTGACAAATTTATTTTGATATGATATTTTTTTGTGTATTAATGTTGTGTTTTTATTAAAAAAAAAAAAAAAAACTTTCATAATTATTGTGATTTTAAAATGTAGTCATTTTATTTTAATTGTTACGATCTGAAATGTTAATTGTTGCCTGATTTTTAAATTAAACTTTTGAAGGAAAGTAAAAAAAAAGAAAAGTTAATTAAGTATATTATTATTGTGGAGTTGATTGTTTAAAACAAAGTATCACTACTCAAAGAAATAGTTTTGAAAAAGTATCGTTATCCTAATAACATTTTTTCAGTTCAATTTGTATAAAATTTTAGTTGATGTAGAATATACGATTTAATATAGCTTATATTTTATTTTTCTCATCATTACACTTTGATCATTCATTTTTTTTAATAAAATAGTATTTAAAACATTCTCTCGAGTACATTTTTTTATTTTAGTTTTTAAAAATATTGTATTATATTGTTACATTTGTGAAATAATAAGTTATTTCAATTAAAGATGGCTATATAAAAAGAGAATCAAGATCTGAAAAATTAAGTTTTTTTTATTTCTTTTTAACATCAATGAGGATGTCAGTTTTTTTTAAACATCAGCGAAAACGTTAATTTTTTATTAAAAAAAATACAAATTAACATCAAAATATGTAATTTTGATTTTTAATAAAATTAACAAGACCATGATTTGATTTAAGAAACAACGTTACAAAGAAAATTCAAAAAAGTTATTTGATTAAATGAGCATTCAACAAGTATAAATTGTGGACTCCACAGTCATTTTTTTATTATATTTTTATAATTATTCAGTGAATTGTATTATACCTGATAAGATATATATTAATTATAAATATTACCTTTTTGTTATTTTAGTTTAGGTTTAAAGTACATAAATAGCCCACTTATCCATGTGTCAAAAAGTAAATGGAGCCTCACACACCTTTTGTTGGTTGTGGACTTGTGGCTTTACCATGATAAATTTTTTCGTGAATTAGGGTTATTAATTCATAAAAATGACAAATGTGGAAGATGGCAATTTAAGCGTACTAACAAGGTGTCTATATATACCAATAGGAACTAAACCTTCTCATGCTGACCTGTTCTTGGGCTCCAAGTTATAATTTCAACCCTCCTATTCTTCTTTTAAGAAAATTTTCAAAGTAAGTAGGCTCTGCTTGGGGACAAATATATTTGGAAAAAATTTGGAAACTAGTGTTGGATCATATAATTTGTCAATGAGAATTTTTAAAAAATATAAAAATTACCCCAAAACTTTTATATTTTATAAAAGCACTCATCATTTATAGTTTTGGACTAAATTTCATTTCAAATTTGTTGTACAAAATTTATATTGTTATTTACAAATATTACACAATTTTAATCTGAGCTTGCTCTTCGAAGTCACTTTCAATTACATGTAGTAATACTTCATTTGTCCCAATTTATATGGCTTACTTTCCATTCTAGTCAGTTTAAAAAAGAATGACTCATTTCTATATTAAGTGTCAATTTAACTTTAAAATGTCCATTTTACCTTGAATTAAATGATATATTGCCACACAAATTTCTATCATTCATTTTAGACCACAAGTTCTAAAAGTCTTCCTTTCTTTCTTATATTATGTGCCGAGTCAAACTACATCACATAAAATGGGACGGATGGAGTAGTAGTTTTCCATATTTAAATTAATGATATTTTCCTTTTGTTTTCTTTCTCTTTTATCAAATTCATAATAATTATGTTCATTGTCATGGATTTTCACATAAATTTTCATTATAAAATGATAATACAAATTATGATTATTTTTTAATAATTTTAGAACTTATGAGTGTAAATCATATTTCTAAAAAAAGTCAAATATTTCTTTCAAAATCTTTGGCTAAACACATGGTGAAACTTCTCCCAAAAATGACTTGCCAAAAATATTTAAAAATTTATGGCCAAACGCTAGTTAAGACTAGAAATATGATCAGGCAAATAACTATAGTTTATTTAATTATGATTCGTAGTTACATGTTAGAAGGGGAGAGAGGCGAGCTAGAGAGAGGGCAAAGAGAATATATTTTGAACATGTAAATCTTATTTTTATCTGCCCTCTTTCTTGTGCACCTCTCTCCCCTTCTAACATGTAACTACAAATCATACTTAAATAAACTATAGTTATTTGCCTAATCATATTTCTAGTCTTAACTAGCGTTTGGCCATAAATTTTCAAATATTTTTGGCAAGTCATTTTTGGGAGAAGTTTCACCATGTATTTAGCCAAAGATTTTGAGAAAAATATTTGACTTTTTTAGAAATACGATTTACACTCATAAGTTCTAAAATTATTAAAAAATAATCATAATTTTGTATTATCATTTTATAATGAAAATGTTCCGTGAAAAGTCATGATAATGGACATAATTAATATGATTTGAAAAAAGAGGAAGAAAACAAAAGGAAAATGTCATTAATTTATATATGGAAAACTACTACTCCCTCTATCTCATTTTATGTGGGGTAGTTTGATTCGGCACACAGTATAAGAAAGAAAGGAAGACTTTTAATACTTCTGGTCTAAAATGAATGATAAAAATTTGTGTGGCTATGAATTATTTAATTTAAGGTAAAATGGACATTTTAAAGTTAAATTGTCACTTAATATAGAAATGTGTCATTCTTTTTGGAACTGACTAGAAATAAAAGTAAGTCATATAAATTGGGATAGATGAAGTATTACTACTTATAATTGAAAGTGACTTCGGAGAGCAAACTAAGATTAAAATTGTTTAAAATATGTATATAATTGTATAAATTTGGTACAACAAATTCAAAATGAAATTTAGTCCAAAACTATAAATGATGAGTGTTTTTATAAAATATAAAAGTTTGGGGGTAATTTTTATATTATTTAAAAATTCTCATTGATAAATTATATGGTCCAACACTGTTTTCAATTTTTTTCGAAATATATTTGTCCCCAAACGGGGCCTACTTACTTTTGAAAATTTTCTTAAAAGAAGAATAGGAGGGTTGAAATAACTTGGAGCCCAAGAACATATCAACATGAGAAGGTTTAGTTCCTATTGGTATATATAGACACCTTGTCACGCTTAAACTGCCATCGTCCACATTCGCCATTTTTATGAATGAATAACCCTAACTCACTATGACTGTTTTAGCCTAAGAAAGTTTTTTCTCTACTTTCAAACTTAGCACCATGGCCATCTTCTTCATTATCATCATAGCAGCACTAGTAGTATTAGTACCAAATTCAGAAACTCCCATCAGAAAAACAGATCTTGAAAGACCTTTTGAAATAAGTTTCACTATTCCAAGGTGAAATCTTGTCTTTCTTTTTTTAGTGTTTTGTTTCTATATAATGTCAAAAAATTTCAGTTTCATGTTTCATATATTGAGAGGGTTAATTACATGTCAAGAGTCAATCATTTGATATAGTGTATATACATTTATAATTTTGGTTTGAATTCAGTTCTTGAATCTCAACTTCTCTTGCCAAGCAATGTTTTCTTTTTTGATGAAAAATTCTTCAATTTCAATCTGCTATAACAACATACCCATACCCAGTGGTTCTATCTGATACAAATTTAGTTTTATTATTCATTCCTTTTTCTGGAGTAGCTCACTATCTTTGGTTGAAGTGAAGGGGAATCATAAAGATACTAATCTGGGTTGTTGCATACAGGATTCTGAATGGCTCAGAAAGAGATAATGGAGCAGCAGGACATAAGGAAGCTTGATGTAACTAAGTTACATCCGCTTTCTCCCGAAGTTATATCCAGGCAGCCTACAATCAACATTGGTAATTTCTTTGAAGATTTTGTAACCCATTCTTTGTTAATCATCAATAGACTAAAACACTTTAAATTTCAATTTGTTAGGCCTCATTGGCCATGTAGCACATGGAAAAACAACCCTTGTCAGAGCAATCTCTGGTATCCAGGTAGCCATACCTTATTCTTATGTTTATAGACCTTTCAACACTTTTGGTTTGGTATAAACTCCTTCTATATAAAACTCTTTGGTTGTTTTATGTCATCTAATTTTCAGACTACTCGATTCAAATGTGAACTGGAGCGTAACATAACTGTGAAACTTGGGTATGCAAATGCAAAAATTTACAAATGTGAGGATGAAAGTTGTCCGCAACCTTTATGCTACATGTACGTGTGCTGATGGTTAGTTGTTTGTTCCTCTGTTTTCTTGAAGAATATATCATTATGCTTTACCTAATCTTGTAGGTCATATGGAAGTGGTAAAGAAGATAATCCTCCATGCGATGTTCCTGGATTCAGAAACTGCAAGATGAAACTGCTTAGACACATTTCTTTTGTAGATTGCCCGGTATGGTTACTTCGTTTGTTCAACCTTCAAATAAATCAACAATTTTGCACTTTGTGCTAAAGCACTAGAATTTGTTCTTTGCATTTGTAATTTTCTAGAACAGTCTTATAAAATTGTGGGGCTTGCTTGTGAATTAGCAATCAATATGAAAATAACTTTCAGAAAATTGGTAATTAGCTTTTGGCTTTTGGGAAGAGCAAAAAGAGTCTACAGAGATTTGCATTAATCTACTTATTGAATTTGTTGTGGTCTAAGACAACAGGAGCTACCAAGAGTTGGTGCTTTTAGATTGCATGTTTGTTGATGATTTGTTAATGTCTTTGTTGATTTGCGTTTTCCCATCTTGTACTTCAGTTAAATACCTTAACAAGATTTTATTTCCATAAAACAAATGAAATTCAACAGCTGTTTCTGTTTATCTTCCTCTTTTCTCTTTCAAAAAATTGAATTGCATTGTTGTCATTGGAAACATCTGTGTGGATCAACTGTGCTCAATATTTTACTGAAAAAAATATTGTTGTCTTTAAATCTTTCTCAGGCTGTTAATGTTTTGAGTTCCCACTGTGACAACACATTTTAATGATCCTTGCCTTGAAGTGTTTTTTTTTTTGTAGACATGCTCAACTTGTTAATGCATTTTAGTCTCTCTAGGAATTAGCATGTGGGATGATTGGTTGAGTCAATTTTTTATGTGCCACTACTTGGATATCCTGACAAAGCATCTGTACATTTTACCGCCTCTCCCATTATTCTGTAAAGTGTGATTTGCATTACTGCAACAATAATTAGCTTTGACTGCCTTATTATGGCTTTGGGTAGGGGCATGAGATACTGATGACTAGAATGCTGAGCGGAGCAACAGTTATGGATGCAGCTTTTCTTCTCATAGCTGCCAATGAAAGTTGTCCTCAACCCCAAACTATAGAGCATTTGTCTGCTGTTGACATCTTGAAGCTTCAAAACCTAATAGTTCTTCAGAACAAAGTTGACACTATACAGGAGCATCAAGCTAGAAAACAGTATAAGGCAATCCGGGAATTTCTGAAGGTTAGTCTTTCCCAAGAGTTTGCAAACCTTGTATTTAAACAGTTCGCTAAAAATGAAATTGCATCTTATGGCAATCAGGGAACAGTAGCACACGATGCACCAGTTGTACCTGTTTCCTCACAGCTTAATTACAACATTGATGCTGTTTGTGAATATATTACAAAGATTCCTATCCCTAAGAGAGACTTTGTATCACCTCCTCATATGGTTGTGGTTCGATCTTTCGATGTGAATAAGCCTGGTTGTGGGATTAATGACATGAAAGGTGGTGTTGTAGGTGGAACTATCACTAAGGTATATTCCTATTGTGTGGTTTGATGCAAATTGTGATAATTTCCATTGATCAATTTTGGAAACTGTGGGTAACAAAATATGACTAAATCTGACCTTAACCTCTTAATTATTTGTTATGTCTAAACATTTATCACTGGTCTCTGGTGCTTAGGGTGTTCTAAAGGTAAATCAGATTGTTGAGCTTCGTCCAGGAATCATTGAAAAAAATGCAGATGGAAAAACCGTCTGTAAACCAATATATTCCAGAATTATGTCATTATTTGCGGAGCAAAATAAGCTTCAGTTTGCTGTGCCAGGAGGCCTTATTGGGGTTGGCACGTCAATGGATCCTGCCCTATCACGTAGTGATATGCTAGTTGGTCAAGTCCTTGGCGACGTCGGTACACTCCCTGAAGTGTACATCAAACTTAAAGTGAGTATGCATTCTTTTGCCTTTTTATCTGTTGTTTGTAATTTCTTTTATTGCTTATACTAAATCATGTCATTTATAACTACCCCTGATACACTTTACCATTTGATTTTTTTCCAGATCATTAGAATATGTAGTATTCTTTTCCACTTGCAACTTATTTCACATCATGTGTGTTATCTGCAGATCAGGAAAATTAAACTGCTGCGCCGGCTTGTAGGGGTTGAGAAAAATGACTTTGGAAAGCAGGTGTCAAATCTGTTGAAGGGTGAGGTTCTAATGCTGAATATCTTGTCCATGACAATTGGGGTTCAAATCATTACAGTTAGAAAGAACAGTGCAACGTTGCAACTAACTGCACCCGTATGCACTGCCGTAGCAGAGAAGGTGGTGCTCAGCCGTCGAGTTGGTGGCCACTGGCGTCTCATTGGGTGGGGTGAGATTGAAGACGGAGTGGCACTAGATGTGCAAACTATACCTGCAGAGATGTTCTCTTAGCAAGGAGATTCTGGCATTGATAATAATATTGATTTACAGTGTGAACTAGTTCTTTTGTTTTTCGTGCTCCCTTTTAGCTTATGAATTGCTTGCAACTGATGGATGTTTCTTTTTAGTTTTTGATCCTATGGAATAGTATTTTTCTTTTCAGCGTTTTGGTGTGGATTTTGTCCGCACTCTTGTCACCTATATTGCAATGCTTTAAAATCCTTTGGCCTTCACCTCTTTGTACTTTGCCAGCCCCAATTAGGAGTGGGCATAATATGGTATTTAAATTTTCAGTTTTGGTAACTTCGGTATTTTAAAAAGTACTATATCGTTATCATATAAAACTAATTTGATATGATTCAATATTTTTTATATTTGATTTTGATATTTATGGGGCGGTAAATTGGTAATCATAGGTTGGTTGATTCAACTTACATATACTCCTATAGTAAAAATGACTTTGATTTTTCAAGAAACGTTTTAATTATATTAAACTTAGCACATTACATATGTAGAAAACTCAAAATAGAGTATTGGGTTGTGTCACGATCAGAAAACTCGAGTCACGATGAACCAAAAATATTGGGTTAAGTCACAAACTGCGGTGAAGGCACCTGGAAGAACCCATTAGAACCATATTGTAAATTGTGAGGAATCAAACCCTAATAATATAAGTATACCCAGACTAAAACTGTGGCTAAGAGAGACACGCCATCTCATGACCCTCCAAGTCATTTCTTTCATTTTTCGATATTTTTAGCTTTAGAGCTTTCTTGTAGCGACCCCAATTAATTTATGACTTGCTAGAACTGATAGTTCGGTCACAGAGTTTTTTTTGCAAGTTTTCGTATTTCAGAGCGTTTGAAACTTGTAACTTCAATCAAAATTTTAATAAGACGACCTCAAAATGCAATTCTAACCGCTCCAGAAGGGACATTTTAGGCTAGGGGCATGGTTGGTTTGGGTCCCGAGACTTTTAGCGGATCTAGGACTATCATTAAGGGATATCAATGGTTGTAGTACAAAATATAATTATGAGGCTAGTAGGGCTAGAGCAAACGACCTCAATGAATTTTCACAACTTAACAACTATACTAAACTTTTAACTTGTGTCAAGAGGTGTCAACACTTGTATATATATTAATTTAACCAAAATTTGACCTCTATATACAGTATAATTTTCTAACGAAGGGGTATTGCTTGACACTCCTTATCAAAGAGCGGGTATACCCTATTGGATGAGAATTTCGTCAGCGTGGTTGGCTCCAGAATGTCGAGTTTGTTCTAAAATGATCTTTTGTGTGGTTTTTGAGGATTCTAGTCTCATTTCAAACCCCTTTATGGATTTTGGATAACAATGGAGGTTGGGTGTGGGACCCACTTTTCATTAAGACAATCTCAGAAGGAAGCTTTGATGGTTCTGTTGATTCCAGAATGTCAAATTTGGTAGGGTGGCATAGTTTGTTTGCGTTCACATGGTTCAAATGAATTCTGAGTATCATTCGAAGTTTGGAGCATTTTGCTCCGAATTGCTATGCAACAATACTGGTGCGACCGCTTTAGCGGCCTTTCAATTGCTTTTGCAGTAGCCGCTTTTGCGGCCTAGGAATCGCTTTCGCGGTAGAAGCCTCTTGGGGCTTTGCAACTTTCGAGGCCTAGGCACCGCTTTCGTGTCCTCAGCATTACTTTTGTTGTAGGAGCCTCTTGGGGCTTGGCCGCTTTCATGGTATCCACTTTCATGGCTGTTGGGATTTATGCAGTTTTGATGATTAACAAAGAAAGACGAAACACGTCAGTCAATATGGTCCAAAGGTGTACTGTCACGAGCAGTTAAATTTGAGAAAGCTTTTAGAATGAACAAAGACAAGAGTGCAGAAATAAAGGAATGGATGATGTTAATTTCGTGAGAAAATCCAAGGAAATAAACATCTGATGAATTGAAGAGAAAGAATCAATGAGTTTGATTTGAAGAAGGAGTTCAAAGAGGCAATGAGTTTTAATTGAAGAAGGAGTCTAACTTAAAGTAGAACTTTTCAAGTTACTGATGAATTGAAGTGTTGGAGTTTGACTACAATACAAAAGAATCAATGAATGTAATTTGAAGAAGGAGTCTAAAGAAGCAAGGAGTTTTGAATTGAATAATGAGTCTTACTTGAAGTAGAACTCTAAGTCAAGAGAGTTCAAGTCAATGAGGAGTTTGAAGTAAACAATAAATCTATAGAATTGTGCTTAAATAGAGGCGAAGTCGTCCAGAATACTTGTGCACTTACAGAGCAAAAAGAGCAATTGAGAAATTGACTTCGCAAGTGCTACCAACGAACTGAAGGAACACATAGAAGGTACACATCGAAGAACCTAATCCTTCTACAGAGTTTTATGGGTTAGGAGTTTTTCTTTGTGATTGAGTCTTGATGTAATCTTAGTTCAGTGAGTTATAAACTGAATTAGAAGTGTTATCTTCAGGTTGTGATAACTCGAAGAGTTGGGAACACATACCTTGAGAGGATTGTGTTTAAAGTTAGGAATTAGAGTTAGTTCCTAAGATTACAAGAGTTGTAATCTAAATCCATAACTTGAAGTTAAGGTAGGTTGCAAAGTTTGTAATCTATCTTTTGTGGAGGCGCAGTGACTTAGTGAAGTTGGAGTTAAATCCTGTAGGGGTACATGTCATGGATTTTACACCTTATTAGTCGGGTGTTTTCCACGTAAAAATATTGTGTTTTTACTTACTATCCTTACTGCTTTGTTGGAACACGTTAGGCAACCTATTTCACACTTAGGCGAAAAGTTAAAATCAGTAAATTACTAGGTCGTGCAGATTAACAATTTGTATCAGAGCAGGTTTTCTTGTCAAAAGTTTAATCACTTACGAATAGATCGAGATGAATTCTGTGCCTCTACCCGGATATTGTGAAGGACAAGATATCAACAAGCCTCTGTTATTCAATGGCCAATATTATTCATGGTGGAAAGCAATGATGGAAACTTATATTCAGGCTGAGGATTATGAACTTTGGAATAAGTTATTAATGGACCAGAATACCCAACTAAGAAGGATGCTGAAAATAATGACGTATAAAGGAAACGAGTGAATACGAGGAGGTTGACTTCAAGATTCTTGAAAAGAATGCCAAAGCTAAGTTTATAATTATTTGTGGCCTTGGACCAGATGAGTATCGCCGAATATCTAGTTGCATAACTGCAAAACAAATTTGGGATACTCTAATAGACGTTAACGAAGAAACAGGATCAAAACATACTGATGATAGAAAGGTAGATGAGATCGCTTTCATGGCTATTGGAGATTCAAACGTGGAAGAAGAAGAAGCAAAATTTGAGGTAAGTATCCTTGACTTGAAAGAAAAAATGCATCTTTTGTCTAAAAGAGAACTATTTAGCATGATAAGTAGCTTATTTGATGATTTTGAAGAATTAATCTGTGAAAGAGATCAATTATTTAAAGATTTTGCAGATCAAAAATTAGAGTGCATGGATCTAAAAAACTGCAAAACTATAATTGAAGAAGAAAATTGTTCTCTAAAGAAACAAGTTAAGAAACTTGAGTCATCAAAGTTGAATTTGAAATCTGAAATTCTTAAGTTGTCCATTATTGAAAAAGGGAAGATAAATGATACTTGGAAGAAATTAGAACATGATTTAAAAGAATGCAAAACTGATTTTTTCTATGAAAGAGATAAGGTGAAAAAACTGAACCTAGAAATTCCCAGGTTAAAAATGTATCTTGAAAAGTCTAATAGATGGACGAATTGCTCCAGAATTGTTAAGAAATTGAGTGATAGGGTGCACAATGAGAAGGCAGGTATATGATTCCATAAGAAAATACTATCTCTGAAGATTTGTGATATATTTGTGGTAAAATTGGTCATCCAACTACTGAGTGTCCAGTTGCTAATGATTTTAGAAAAAGAAATACTAAAATTCGCAAATGGAAACAGATTTATACCTATTGGCAGAAACAGGTCCACTAACCAGTCGCCTAGATGGGCGAGAAAAAATTTGATTCACCCTTTTGATCATAAGAAGGACCCAAGCTTGTCTGGGTTCCTAAGACTAACCCTTAAGCTATTTTGCAGGTGAAGCTGAAAGGAAGCAAGTGATTTAATTCATAGATATTGGTTGCTTAAAAGATATCAATGAAGTCAAACAAAAGTTTCTTTCGCTCACTTCTCAAAAAGGGGGAATGTGTCATTTAAAAAAAATGGAAGAGAAAGGTGGAGCTAATGCATATGTAAGGAGGAAGCAAAAAAAGAGAGGATAAAAGTGAAACTGATGAAACTGCATTGGAACACGTTGTACCACATGTTTCATTTGTTGAACAGACGAAGGGAATATTGATAAGGGGAACAATGAATCTTGAAACTGATTTATCCATAAAAGTATGTGGTTGCTGGATAACGTTGTTCATTGTCAAATAACAATTGATGGATTGTGACACTAAGCAGGGAGCATTATGAAAAGAATAAGTTAGACTTGGGGATGATTAAGATTGCATGAACTCCCCTCAATGATTGACTAGAATAATTGTTCTCCTTAATTTTATGAGCTAAAATGTTATTCAATTCAGTCTTACATATTTATTTGTGTCTCCCAATAACAAATCCTTGACTCGTTTTAACCTAATTTTGTATTAGTTGTGCAGAGAAACGGTGAAAACAGGCAACAATGATCGCAAAATTGCTCTTATCAGGTATGTTATATATTGATGGAGGTTAATATTGTATAAAGTGAAATAGTTGAGCACTCAAGTTTCTTATATTAAATGTTCTAATACAGATTAAAATAATCAGCAAAGCTCAAGAATCTTATTCTTCCAAATTGTTCTCTCACTTAGCCCACTTGATTATTTTTTTTCAAGTTTAAATAAGATATTCACCAAAGTACATCCTTCGATATTTATGATGATGTCCTCTTCAAATTGCTCTTAACTTGGTACATATATAGTTCTCATTTGAGAAGGGAAATCTAATTCCTCATTTTCAGTTCATGAGGAAGAACCAACTCCAGAAACACATTTTTTTTCTATTCCACCTTGAACTCCCATCTAGAAATCATAAGTGTCCAGAGGATGCCATTATTAAAGAAGATGTTAGAGCAAGCATGAAAAAAAAATGACATGATTCCCATAGTGATTTTTGAGGAATAC